TCAGTGCCTGTGAGAAAGAAAACACATTAATTCCTTTTAATGTCTGCTATGGTCTAAATGTTTGTGTCCCCCCAGCCAAATTCATATGTTGAAATCCTAACCCCCAAAGTGATGATAGTAGGAGGTGGCACCTTGGGTTGGGAGGTAATTGGGTCACGAGTGTGGGGTCCTCATGGATAGGATTAGTGTTACAAAAGATGCCAAAAGAGACCCCTCTCCTCTTCCTCTTCCACCACAGAGATGATGATGCTCATGAACCAAGAAGCAGGCCCTCACCAGACACCAAATCTGCCAGTGCATTTTTTTTTTTTTTTTTTTTTAAGACAGGGTCTCTGTAGCCCAGGCGGGAGTGCAGTGAGGCAATCATAGCTCACTGTGACTTCAAACTTCTAGGCTCAAGTGATCCTCCCACCTCAGCCTCCTGAGTAGCTAAGACTATAGTCACATGCCATCCTGCCCAGCTAATCTTTTTGAATTTTCTGTAGAGATGGGGTCTTGCTATGTTGCTCAGGCTGGTCTCAAACTCCTGGCCTCAAGTGATCCTCCCACCTCAGCCTCCTAAAGTGCTGGGATTACAGGTGTGAACCACTATACCCAGCCTCTGCCAGTGCCTTGATCTTCAACTTCCCGGCCTCTAGAACCATGAGAAATAAATTTCTATTGTTTAAAACCTACCCAGTTTATGGTATATTGTTACAGCAACCCAAATAAACTAGGACAGTATCTTTAAGAACCATACTGGAAAAGAGAAATCATTCATAATAGGAATGTTAACAATGAGGGAGACTTAAAAATTAAACATGCTTTTTACAAATTATCCCATTACAAAAGGAGTTGGGGGCTGGGCCTGGTGGCTCACACCTATAATCCTGGCACTTTGGGAGGCTGAAGTGGGTGGATCACTTGAGGCCAGGAGTTTAAGACCAGCCTAGCAACGTGGTGAAATCCGGTTTCTACTAAAAATAAAAAACTAGCTGGGCACAGTGTCGCATGCCTGTAATCCCAGCTACTTAGGAGGCTGAGACACAAGAATTGCTTGAACCCAGGAGGCAGAGGTTGCAGTGAGCCAAGATTGTGCCACTGCACTCTAGCCTGGATGACAAAGTGAGCCTCTGTCTCAAAAAAAGCAAAACAAACAAAAAACAAAGGGAGTTGGAAAGAGTGAGAATCACAATGTTTTTTATTATACACATTGGATGGCGCAGAATGCTCCAGCACCATGCAATGTCAGCTCATGGGAAAATCATCACTACCTAGCACTGAATCTTCCTTTGCACTCAGAGGCTCCCCATTCAAGTTAGTGTCACAGTAAAGTTGTCATGTTTTGAAATGCACAGTTGGGTTGGATGACTCTGGTATTGAACTGGAAATACTGTTCGCATATCTAAACAGATCCTCTAGAAAAATGAACTCACATACTAAGATCTCCTTGCACTCCATTCATGGCCCTTTTAAAATAAGGATAGTTGGCCGGGCATGGTAACTCGCTCCTATAATCCTGGCACTTTGAGAGGTCAAGGCAGGAGGGATGGCTTAAGCTCAAGAGTTCAAGACCAGCCTGGGCAACATGGTGAAAATCGGTCTCCACAAAAAATACAAAAATTAGCTGGGCATAGTATCATTTGCTTGTAGTCTAAGCTGCTTGGAAGGCTGAGGTGGGAGAATCACTTGGGCCTAGGAGGTCATGGCTACACAATATGCCGTGACTATGCTACTACATTCCAGCCTTGATCAAACAGTGAGACTCTGTCATGAAAAAAAAAAATTAGATTTGGAGTCTTTAAAAGAGATTCATCAAGAACCTGTTCAGCCCTGGGTAGGAGCATTGAACAAACAGAAGGATACATTCAGAGTATGCAGAGAATAAGTGCGTTTATCTAAATCTAATCTCAATTTTGAAAATACTACTATTATTTCCCACCATTAATGAACTGGCTATCTTGCCCTATAGAATGAGTCTTTTCTACCTACAAAGTGCTACAAAGTGACTGTTAGTATATATTTTAAAGGTTCTTGGTTTAATTTTGTTACTAAACTATTTATGTTTCATTCAAGTACATGACTGATTTAAATAACCTATTCTTAATATGAAATTATCTAAGTGAGATCCTGTTCTTGTAATCCTAAAACACCGAACTACGACTCCGCTACCTGAACCTGACTGACACAAGCACTTGTCCCAGTTCCTGGTACATGCTGGTTCACTCAATACAGGGTGGCCATCACTGTTATAACTATTGCTATTGCCACAGCTGTAATAATACTTTAATTTTGCAATTAAAAAGAAACTGGGGCACTGACATGTTTGCTGCTCTGTACAAAAAGCCAATTCAAATTAAATTCTTATCAGAAGAAAATAAATTCAGTGTTCATCAGCAGGCCTTTCACTATAGTTTTCCCAGCCATTGCTTTGTTGCCTTCAGTTACTCCTCTACTAGTTTCTTGAAGAAAGGTTGTTAGCTAAGCGTAATATTCTTGAACTATATCTTCTTTCCTAGAAGCCTTAACCACTATCTTCAAAAGTAGGATGTCAATATTAAGAAGTCTGAAGTCTGCCGGGCGTAGTAGGCCATGCCTGTAATCCCAGCACTTTGGGAGGCTGAGGTGGGCGGATCACCTGAGGTCAGGAGTTGAGACCAGCCTGGCCAACATGGTGAAATCCTGTCTCTACTAAAAATACAAAAAAATTAGCTGTGCATGGTGGCACATGCCCAGAGTTCCAGTTATTGGGGAGGCAGAGATTGCAGTGGGCAGAGATCGTGCCACTGCACTCCAGTCTGGGTGACAAAGCAAGAGTCTGTCTAAAAAAAGAAAGTCTAAAGTCAAAAAANAAAAAAAAAAAAAAAAAGGTCTGAAGTCAACCTGATTACCATTAGGCTTCAAAGTAACTCAATCTTTTGATATAACTGCCTAAAAGATTCTTTCATCTTTGACTTCTAGGAACCTCACTAGAATGTCTTAGTATTAATTCTCCTACATCTTTTTCATTTTTTTGAGACACAGTCTCACTCTGTCACCCATGTTGGAATGCAGTGGTGCAAACAAGGCTCACTGCAGCCTTGACCTCCTGGGCTCAAGCAATCCTCTTACCTCAGCCTCCCACGTAGCTAGGACCACAGGCATATACCACCATGTCCGGCTAATTTTTTTATTTTTTGTAGAGACAGTGTCTCGCTTTGTTGCTCAGGCTAGTCTGAAACTCCTGGGCTCAGGCAATCTTTCTGCCTTTGTCTCCCAAAATGCTGGGATTACAGGCCAGGGTGCCTGGCTCCTATATCATTTTTTACTGAGACACATATCTTCTCGATCTGAAAATTCACATCTTTTCATTTTGGGAAAATCTTTCTCGAATAATCGTCTTTAAATATTTCTTCTGTATTACAGGCTTTCTTCTCTGAGAACTCCAATTACGTATACGTTAAATCTCCTTTATCTCTTACTACTGTCGTTTTCTCTCTAACCCTTTCTAACCTTTTACTTCCTTCTCATTTTGTTTTTGTTTGTTTGTTTTGTTTGGATTTCCTGGCCTATCTCTTACCTTATTTTTGACAGTATCTATTCCTACTTGTTTTGCATTCAATTTTGTCTCTATTTTTTGTAATGTTTTTTAATTCCACTTCTTTTCTGAGCTCTGCAGCTTACATTTCATCTTCTGATGTCTTGCCACATGCCTGAACTTATTTTATAATGGCAATTATTTTATTTTTGTGCTCTTTCTTTCATGAAGACAATTTCATTATTCATGAGAAAGTAATAATTTCCATAAGCTCCATGGCAATTATTTTTATCTTTGAAGTTAAACATTTTTTTTTAAAGGTGGGGTTTCACCATGTTGGTCAGTCTGGTCTTGAACTCCCAACCTCAGGTGATCAGCCCGCCTTGGCCTCCAAAGTGCTTGGATTACAGGCATGAGCCACCATGCCCAAAGTTAAACATTCTTTATCTGCCTTTTGTTTTTCTGTTCTTTTCTTGTAGTATTTTAGTACAGATTCCATGCTCTTCCTTTTTGACAAACCCAGCTTTGTATTAGTTGAGGTTTCTCTGCACCAGCTATTTGTACAAAGTTTATATAAAGGAAGGACTTGGTATTTCAAGTAACAGGAACTTTCTTTTTGACACGGGTTATGTAGGCATCCTCTTAATCTTTCTTTCTTCCAAGCCAAGAGATATGCGGCTCTACACGTATCTCATTTACCCTCTCTGCCACTTGAACAGATTGCTTAATGGAAATGTGGCTTGATTCCTTGATCAGTCCCTCCTCCACGGCCTCTTAGGATCAAGATGGGTCCAGAGACTCTCCTATTACAACCTGTGCATTCTGTTCTTGTTGAAAAAACAAAAAAAAAGATTTGGGTTTTATGCCTCCAGGTGGGAAAAAGTACTCAGCTAGCTCTTTCTGAGATCCACTATCCCCACAGGTAAGTCTCTCTGCACTTCCTCTAGCACCCCTGCACGAGCTCCAGTGCTTCTTGCAGGCATTCCTTCTGTGTTGTGGTGCTTGGCATCAGATATCTTCAGATCTCCCAGTTTTGTCTACAATGGAGTTTACATTTCTTTTTTCCATTCTCCTTGTTGCTAAGAAGTGGTTTCAGAGACCAGAAGAGGAGAATGTCAAGTATATTTGCTATATTCACTCGGAAAGCTCTCAGTAGGAAACCACTGACACCTTATGATTTTCAAAGCCTCATCATGTGTAACTTCTCCCCTATATATGCTATACACACACTAGTTATCAGCAACTTAAACCTAAAAAGGTTAAGTGGCTTACCCAAGCTCTCAAAGCTAGTTAGAACCCAGACGTCTTGACTCCTGGTCCAGCACTCTTATCACACTGCACATCCATGCACACATATGGCCACTGAACTCAAGTGACCTTCCTTCTAAGTATACTTATTACCGGAGCTAATCTCTTAGAATTATACTTAGAGTAGGAAACCACATAACAAACATCAGGAGTGAGGAAGAAAGAAGACCAAGAACCCAAGATTAGTTCCCGTTACCTGGCTTAGTATCTGTCACTCCTTCCATGAGGACCAGTCCTACTGGTCGCTGACAAGCGATGCTGCAGAAGCGGAAACGCAGCAGGAAGTCTCGGCCATACTTGCGTCTCTCTGCAAACCAGGAAAAGCCATATAGTGAAAGAAAGATGACAAAGCCACATGTTGAGACCTCCTTAGTACCAAGCAACTTCCAGCATAGGTACACAGAGGAAGTACTCAGAAGAAAAGGAGATTTTCCAATGGCTATGATTTAAAGTTGTCCATTTTATTGGAGGACCATTGGGAGGACAGTGAGAAAACAGAGGAACTTGCTAAGAGAAATGAGGGATTACACTTTTTCTTGTCAAGGAGATACCAGCTTTCTCCCAAATGGGCATGAAGACACAGTCAACCAAGAATGTGACATGTGCTCACCTGATCTCTTGGGGTGACAGGAGGTGACATACTGACAGCAATCAGTGATGCCCAGGGAGCTGGGCCACAGTGGGGCCTGCAGCTTCCTCTGGTAAAGCTGATGAGAGAAGTCTTCCTGTCCAGATACCTGCAAGGAAAGAGGAGGGTAGGAATGAGGAAACCAAGAAAAAAGAAATAACAGTCCATGTTTTGGGACATGTGGACAGATACAAACACACATAATCACACACTACATACATGGTATAAGCAAGGATGTAAGTCTCAGGGGCAGGTTAAAAATAAGTACCTAATTAAAACCACTACTTTTTCACTGGCAACACTGAAATGTTCATGAAACAGGAGGAGGGGTAAGAGACTGAATCAAGGAGAACTGAATTGTATTTAACACGTGGTTCGCTAAATTTTACCTCCGAAAAATCTACACAATTCTCCTCCACAGAGAATATCAACTCTCAGGGGCTTTAAGTTGCAATGGTTAAAGTTTTATCTTCATCTTTGGATCTTCTGGATCAAGGTCTAATATCCTTAACCTATTACTGGGAAACCACAGGGTCAAACCAAATGGAAAGCACCAAAGCACTTTACCGTATCTATGTCACCATCCTCGATCAAAGCCAATGAGCAGCCTGGGAACGGACAAAACGTAGTGGGGGAAACATTCGGCAACATCAGTCATCTGCAGATCTCCAACATGTGTAGCAAAAGTCCCTTCATGCCAGTTAACAACAACAAATATTTGAAAGCCAAAAGACACTAGCTAGGTGCTGGGGATAGAGCAGTGATAGATAGAATCCCCTTGCCCTAAAAGGGCACACGTTTTCAATATGTCATCTGAAGTAAAACAGATCTGCAATTCAATGGCCACTTAATAGCTGTGTGACTTTGGGGAAGGTAGTTAACCCTCTTTCGTTCAATATCTCCTACTATAAAATGGGATAGGCCAGGTGCGGTGGCTCACGCCTATAATCCCAGCACTTTGGGAGGCTGAGGTGGGTGAATCACCTGAGGTCAGGAGTTCTAGGCCAACATGACCAACGTGGTGAAACCTCGTCTCTACTACAAATACAAAAATTAGCCAGGAGTGGCGGCACACGCCTGTAATCCCAGCTACTCGGGAAGCTGAGGCAGGAGAACTGCATGAACCTGGGAGGCAGAGGTTGCGGTGAGCTGAGACGGCCCCTCTGCACTCCAGCCTGGGCGACAAAGCGAAACTCTGCCTCAAAAAATACATAAATAAAACGGGATAATAATACCATGTACAATTAAGAATCTTAATAATCACTACTAGTTACTGACTTTGAACCAGATACTGGAAAACACTTTACATGCATTATTTTATTAAATCCACCCAAAAAAACACCTCTGAGGCAGGTCCCATTATATCCCCCATTGTACAGATGAGGCAAATGGGGTTTAGGAAAGTTAAGTAATTTGCCCAAGGTGGCAGAAGAGGGATCTGAACTCAGGACTGTCTGGCTTCAAAGCAAGTGCTCTCATTCACTATGCCTAACAGTGCCTGTCATGTGGCAGGCATTCAGTAAATTCTTTTCCCCATTCCAGGAGCTCCTTGATTACACCTCCTTTAGGGCAAGATCATGCCTTTCTCTGCACACATGGCAACTAGGACACTGCTGGCACATTAACATAAAATCCCACGTGTGCAACAATAATTCAATCGTTTTGTGTCCTTTCACCATTGGGCCTTGCCAAAAGTTAGGCAATAAACTGAACCAGTAGGGGCACAATAGAGGAAGAAGGAGATTAAGTAACATAAAGAACTCAGCATAAGCTAATAAAACTATGAGGTATCTGTCATCGACACTCAATAGTTGGAAGGAATTAGATCCATATACAAATTGCTGAGTGAAAAAAAAGCAAGCAAAAATGAAACATATAGTAGCATATCATGTTTATAAATCACATATAATAGATTACATATTGGCTGTTACAAGCAATCACAGCATAGTATTTGAGCGTAAGAACCCTGCAGCCAGACCACCTGGTTACAAATCCTGGCTCCACCACTAACTACCCACACAACCTAGGGCAAATTACTTCACTTCTCTGGGCTTTAGTTTCCTCATTTATAAAAGCCATGATAGAAATTGTTTAAATTAATGAGTTAACGACTATAAAGTGCTTAAAATAGCATAGCACACGGTTAAGTGCTTAACAAATGTAAATGCTGATTACAATATCATAGGAACATAGATATCACTGTAAATGCAAATAAGACAATCTAGAAGACTACCACCAAACTTTTCTTAGGTCATTACGTGACTCTAAGAGAATAGGATCAAGAACATGGGTAATAAAACAGGCCTGTGCCTTACTGTATAATGTTCAAATTCCTTCAAGTATGTACTTATGTATTACTTGTGAATTAAAAATATTAATGATAAAAAATGAAAAAATTCCAATATGCCAAAGTACTCAAGAATTCTTAACTTCCAGGCTTGGTCACAAGCTACTCAACATAACAAGAAAAAGGAGGAGCAAGTCAGAGCAGGTGTCTAAGGTCCCTGCTACAGAAGCAGCACTGATGCAAACACCTAAATCTCTCTCTAGACCATGTTCCCATCCCCACCGTGGAATCTTCCATTTCACCTGCCAGGCTGGCATCCCATGGTACTGGAGCTCTCCATCCCTGATGAAGTTGTAGAGAGGTGAATCAGGGACAGAATTGAGGTCCCCGCACAAGATGATGGGGCAGTGGCTGCCATCTGACAGTCTGGCCACCTTGTCCACTTCTGCCAGGAGAATGGCCATCTGGGCCAGCTTGACATCACCCCGGCGTGGGTTGTAAAGGATATGGGTATTTGCCACACACAGCGGGGCCGCTGAGACTTGCCCCAGGCCTTCTGGGATGAGTGGTTGCAGTAGCAACACTAAGCCCACATTATCCCGATTAAGGAGCTCCAAGCCAGGCCGGAAGTACTCCACAGGGCTGGCACAGAGCAGGCGGAATCTGGTAGGCTTGTAGCAGACAGCACAGCCATCGGTTTTACACCCAGTCCTCCTCTTGTAGAAACAAGTAAAACCTGCAAGGAAAACCCCACCAAGGAGATGGGTCAGAGTCCTTAAAGCCTGAATCCCTTCCAACCAGCATTAGCAGCCCCAGTGTGTGCCCCTAAGGCATTGTTCCTGCTCCCAACAAAGGAGCCTTGCCACTTCCTTGCTTCAGCAGGTTCCCACTTACAGTTGTAACCAGGTGGCTTGGGTGGGGTGGAAGGGCAAGGGGGGAAGGGTATGAAGCAATTCAATATGATAGAAAAGAGCACGGAATCTGGAGTCAGACAAGCTGGACTCCTAGCTCCACATCTACTAGCATTGTAGCTTTGTGAGTCTGAGGAAGTCACAAGAATTTTCAGTACTTCAGTTTCCTCATCTATAAAATGGGAATAAGTCTCACAGTCTCACCACACTGGTTACTTCAAGGATCAAATAGCAATATATGTCAGAATTGCTTTAAAACTGCAGAATTCTACTTTCTCAGGCATAAATGGAAGGAGCAAGCTGACAGGTGAAACTGAGGGTTTACTAAAACAAAAGGAAAGGATGGGATCTTCAGGAGAGAGTAGACAAGGCTATAGGAAGAAAAGGTGGGAAGCATGCCAGGGAGTTGCATTACCCATCATTCGCAGAGAGGGTTCCAGCTGCTCCCAGTAATGATCTTCCTGGACTTCCTGGAGACACAGGATCTGGGAAAGTGACAAAGAACCCAATCACTCCAGAGTGCTGGAATGTGACCCCCACCCTCTAGGAGCAGGTCCTGAGGCCAGGTGGGAAGCTGCTGGGTCACACTGAAACTTCCCCCAGGGCTGACTCTTCTCAGAGTCACCAACAGCAAGAACAGGCCCAGACTTAAGCTGAAAAGATTAGACATGTGCACTGGATTTTCCTGCTCCTTGAACACCTCAAGCCTCCCTTCCCGAATAAATGCGCTGGAAAGTGCACACCTAGGGCAATTCTTCTCAGCATCTGCCAACAACTCACTGACACCAGGCAGGCAAGCTCCAGCCCCAGATAGGACTCCAATCATTTGAACAACGGGGTGGAACTCATCTTCTAAGAGCACTAGGAAACAGCCCAGGTCCAGCAACAATGCAAGATGGCACCTCCCCCTCTTCACTCACATCGGGGTCCCAGTGCTGGAATTCCTGCATGAGGTTCATGAAGCGATAGTTCCAATTGAGGATGTCCGGATGGCAATGTAGATAGAGCTCTGAGCTCTGCTGCATCAGGTCCTGAGCCAGGATGTTATAAGACATCAGAGTGAACTGGAACTGAGGACCATCTCCTGCTTCCAGGCCCTGAGCATCTGGCTGGGTGGAGAAATCCTCCCATTCTCGCCACAGAATTTCTGCAAAGGGATTCGGAGAAGCATTCCATGACAAGGATGAGTAATGCAGAGGCACCGCCATCTCCACTCCTGACTCAGTAATTTTATGCCTGAAGTTCCTTTTCCATCTTCCCTGTCACCCCTCCCTCTCTGTGGGGAACTGAGCAGTCTGTAGACATTCTTCAGATGACATGGTTAGCTCCACAAAGCCAGAGACAATCTTGGCCTGCTCACCACTACATCCCCAGTACCTAGCATCTAAGAGAGGCTGCATATATGCAGGCTGACAATCTCTCACTTTCGACAAATCCATGAATCTCTAGAGAATCACTCAGATGAGTGTTCTTAACAGTCACCTGAGGTTAACGACATTTCTAGAGTAATTACAGCCCTGGGTGATTTCTGACCCCTAAATCTGGAAGAGTCTGTGGGGCTAGAGACCACAATATGTCCCCATCTCCCCTATGGCATTTTGCTGCATAGTGGATTCCAAATCTCTTGATGCCTTTCTTCAAATTTGAATGGACTCTGAATACATAACACAAATAAAACTGAGGCTGATTGTGACTGAGACAGAGAGTAGGGCTCCAAGACCTCCTAATCCCTACCCCTAGAAAGCCCTAGGGTTACCACCAGAGAAACGACACTGGAGAATCAGATCTAGAGTATGCTTTCAGGTCTGCTCCTACCTGGCTTTATGACTTTAGGCATGTTCTGCTACCTCTCTGTACTGTGATTAATTCACCTTTAAAACCATGGGGCTAGATGAGATTATCTGTAAGGCCCCTCTAGATCTGACACTCCAAGATTCTTAGAAAAATAGAATGCAGTGGCAGAGCTCCCTACCAGAGAATCTTCTCTTTAGCAATTGCTCTGCCCACACCTGAGACACGCTGCTCCCTTGGCTCACTCAGCCAGTTGTCAGACTCACCATGATATGGTATTTCCACCGGGGGAGGCTGCAACTGCCCCAGGCCCTCAAAGGACCAGACGGGAGCCTCTTCCTGGGGCAGAGGCTCAGGTGCTATGCTCCAGGCCACCACTGCCGGGTCCTCTTCCCACTGCTCTGTGGCTAGGGCACCCACTGGGAGGACAGCACAGTCTGCATACTGGGGGTCCGTCTGCATGGGGATAGCTGTCCACATGGGGCCCTCCACCTCTGGCAGTGGCTCCTCTTCTAGCATCTCAGGAAAAGGCTCATCCAGGTTCTCTGCTGCCCGAAGGTCACTCAGCTGCCTGCTGGACCACTTATCCTCTGAAGCAGCATTCTCTTCTCCAGGATTATCCATCAGAAGTGCCAGGCTGCTCTGGGCTAGTCCCTTATCTATAAGGGGACCCTCACTTGCAGTTGAGAGCACCTGGCTCGACCCTTCCTCTCGCCACTGCTGCAGCAGACCCTCACACTCCTCCTGGTCAGGGCCCCGAGGGGCCATGGCAAAGTCGCCCTCTACCTGGGAGGATGAGCTCTTCGCCAGAAGGGCATTTTTTCGACATGTGAAGAAAGCATCTAGGAGGAAAGCCAAAATAGCAGGTTATAAGAAGACTGTCATTCAACCCACACTCTTCTCCCAGCTAAAACATAAGCCCAGTAAAAGCAAGACCCATAACCACCTTGCTCATCACTGTACCACCACTGAACCTGCCCATCTTAATGCCTGAACATCGTCATCAATATCATCATATTTACTATGTGCCAGGCATTGTTCTAAGTATTTTACAAGTTTTGACTAATTTATACGGCAGGGATCTGATAAATATTCAGTGCATGAATGAAAGAACAGCTGGCCCACATAATCTAGAACACAGACGGGCACACATAACCACACCCCTTTTACGTGACAGTTAAGACTACTATTAACAAACTCTTTGGTTCTAAGAACCACATTACATTGGAACCAGCACTTGACTATGAATCAGAACTGTGGGTTATGGTATAGCACCAAAATTAATAAAACTGACCTTGAACAATGCCCCTAGTCAGACGGAGTTACTCTTGACTGTAAAATGGGGACAAGAGGCCAGACGTGGTGGCTCCCAGCACTTTGGGAGGCAGAGGCAGCAGGATTGCTTGAGGCCAGGAGTTAGAGACCAGCCTGGGCAACATAATGAAACTTCATCTCTATAAAAAATTAAAAATTAGCCAAGTATGGTGGCACATCCCTGTAGCCCTAGCTACTTGGAAGGCTGAAATGAGAGGATTGCTTGAGCCCAGGTGGAGGCTGCAGTGAGCTATGACTGACCTTCTGCACTCCAGTCTGGGAGGCAAGTGAAACCTCATCTCTAAAAAAAAGGAAAAAGAAAAAAAATAGAGACAGAGAAGTTTGAACTAGAAAATCTCTAAGAGCTTTTCTAGCTATATAAATTCCCTAATCTATTAATGTATTCCAAAAGAAAAAGTTCTAAAGTAGTCTCAAAATCTATACAATTTACATCTTAGCAAAGGCCCCTAAGCCTCTTCTCAAGGCTACTTATTCTAATAAAACCTTCACGAACTTCATTATCTGCTTTCCCATTCCACAACACAACAGAGGCTATAAATGAGGAGGTGCCAACAACTGACAGTAAGAGAGAGCCGCAAATGACAGCCAACGGCCAAGAAAGAACGTGGGAAAAACTCTAAAATTAGAGCCCCCAAACTCTGAGCAAAGTAGTTTGGTGAGAGCAAACAACTCCCACACTCACACACTCAGTCATTTATTTACAGCACAAGACAAGTGGCATGCACGATGCTAGCCCTCAATCACGAGGCTCATTGGCAATTTTTTTTAAAGGCAAGAAAATGTAAAAGTGGCTCAAATATTGAAAGACAGTTCAAATATCTTGTTTGGGGCCTCTGTATACTTATGTCCTTCTAAACAATGGTTTTTAACCACAGTGATTTTGCCCTCGGAAGACATTTAGCAATGTCCAGAGACACCGTGGTTGTCACAACTGCAGCAGTGCTACTGGCATCTAGTGGTTAGAGGATAGAGACGCTGCTGAATTTTGGACAATTCACAAGACAAACCCACAACAAATGATCTGGCCCAAAATGTCAGCAGTGCTGAGACTGAGAAACCCAGCTCTAAACTCTTAAGCTGGGTGGCTGAGCTTTAGTCTCAAGGACTTGCTAATTATCTGCTCCTTGAAACATCCTCTGTGTATACCAGATAGCAGAGGTTCTTTGGTTCAGATGCACGAAGTTACTGGCTTTCAATTCTGGCAGATGTTTTGTGGTGGTGGTGGCGGTGGTGGATTTTCAGCAGCAGAATGCTTTTATTTTTTAAAAATCCTATCTGGAAACCAAATATGCCAAGTAAATGTAATTGAGACTACTTTAAGGTGTAGGTGGAGAGGGGCCCTCCTCTGAGATTCCTGGAACTCTACTGGTTTGCAAACCTCTGGACTAGTACACCATATCACTAAGGCTGCCATAGCAGGCATGAGAAGAGCTCCAGAAATAACAGCAACGTAGTTAAAAGAATATGCTTAGCTCTCTGAAAACAATTACTTCTGTGGAGTTTCCCAGTCCTCAGAGGTATGGACACACAAGGCATTCCTGAATTCACTGGGTGCCAACTATATACCAAACGATGTGTTAACACCAGGGATACAACGAACAAAATGGATGTGGCCCTGCCCTCCTGAGGCTCGCATTCTAGTCGCAGATACACGGTAAAAATAAATTTAAAATATTCCTGTATGAAATATATATTATCAATGACACACACATTTCGCAAAAACTATGTAAAGTTCCACAAAGGAAAACCACAGATTACACAGTTGGGGCCCTTATTCGTAAGTACTTCTTAGTCCAGGCCCATAAATTAAAGGCATAAAGTCTGGGAGTTCCATAGGATCTCAGAAACTGAGGGTTGCATTAAAGCGTCTGGAATTTCAAAGCCCAGGAACAGATAATGCAACAAATTACGAAAAAGTAACGGAATAACCACGCCCTCCCCTCTTTGAGGTATGGACTGGGCATTGCCCCCAGCCCCGCCCAACTCCCTCTAAAGTGCCGGAGGCAGGGAGGGGCCGGAGGGGCGGGGGCCGGAGGGGCGGGGGCCGGAGGGGCGGG